GGGATGTTCTTCCATTTATGTAGATCTCTTACGGTTTCAAGTAGATTTTTATAGTTTTCTTTATACACTTCTTTTGTGTCCTCGGTAAGATTTAGTCCCAGGTGTTTTATTGTTTTGGTAGCTATTGTAAATGGTATTGACTTCCTTATTTCTTTTTCAGCAGTCTCTTTGCTGGTGTAGAGGAATCTAACTGATTTTTGGATGTTGACCTTATATCCTGCCATGATGCTAAATCTCTCAATTAGTTGCAGTAGATTTTTGACTGAGTCTCTTGTGTTTTCTAGGTATAGAAAATAGGGATAGTTTGACTTCTTCCTTACCAATTTGGATGCCTTTGATTTCCCTCTCTTGCCTTATTGTCCTGGCTAGGACTTTCCAGTTCAGTGTTGAATAGAAGTGGTGATAGAGGGCATCCTTTTCTGGTTCCTGTTCACAAGGGAAATGGTTTCAGTCTCTCTCCATTGAGAATAATGTTGGCTGTTGGTTTTCCATAGATGCCCTTTATAATGTTGAGGATTTTCCCTTCTATTCCTATTTTGGTGAGAGTTTTGATCAAGAATGGCTGTTGGATTTTATCAAATGCCTTTTCTGCTTCAATTGATATGATCATGTGGTTCTTCTCCTTTGTCTTATTTATGTGGTGGGTGACGTTGATTGTTTTTCTAATGTTGAACCATCCTTGCATACCTGATATGAACCCCACTTGGTCATAATGAATGATTTTCTTGATACGTTGTTGGAGTCTACTGACTAGGATTTTGTTGAAAATTTTTGCATCTATATTCAAGAGGGATATTGGTCTGTAGTTTTCCTTTTGAGTGATGTCTTTGCCTGGTTTTGGAATCAAGGTTATGCTTGCTTCATAAAATGAGTTAGGGAGGATTCCATCCTTTTCTGTGTTTTGGAATAGTTTGAGTAGGACTGGTATCCGTTCTTCTCTGTATGTTTGATAGAATTCTCCAGTGAAACCATCTGGGCCAGGACTTTTTTTAGTTGGTAATTTTTTGATGACCTGTTCAATTTCTTCTTTTGTGATGGACCTGTTCAACTTTTCCACATCAGTCTGTGTTAGTTTAGGTAAGTGGTATGTTTCTAGAAATCTGTCCATTTCTTCCAGATTTTCAAATTTGTTGGAGTACAGTTCTTCATAGTATCCTGATATTGTGTAAGGCACTTGACTGCTAACCAGCAGGCTGGCTGTTCAAACCCACAAGCCATTCCTCGGAAGAGACATGGGGCAATCTACTTCCGTAGTGATACTGCCTCGGAAACCCAAGGAGGGTTGCTATGAGTTGGGTCCGACTCAACGGCAAACAACAACAACATTGTCTTTATTTCAGTTGGTTCTGTTGTGATGTCACCCATTTTGTTTCTTTTTCATGTTATTTGTATCCTCGCTCCCTTTCCTTTGTTAAATTTGCCAGTGGTTTGTCAATTTTATTGATCTTTTCAAAAAACCAACTTTGTTGCTGCGGTTTTAGTATTTGCTGAGTATTTGTGCATGTCCTCTTTTTTATTGTGATATGAAGGTTTATCATTTTTCTTTGAGGTTACCCTATGATTTGTAATTTTCTCCCTGAGTTTAGAACAGTCCATTCTATCTTGCAACGCTCTTAACTTCCTCACCATTTAGAAGTTCTGTAACTACACAGTCTTTTCCCTCTTCTTGTTTGTAGTTGTCCTTACTTACCTGTTGATGTCTCTGGTTCCCTGTTTACAATCTTGTAAGCTCATTTTACTTTGGATATGTCCATAGCTGTGGTTTCTGAGTTTTGTCATCTTGTGTATTAATGGTCGGTTGATATTTGCTATTTTTGGTTCTCTGTTGAAAGGATTCCCTTTACCATCTCTTGTAAGGTTGGTTTGGTTTTAACAAATTCCCTTAGTTTCTCCTTATCTGAAAATCGCCTAATTTCAACATATTTCAGGGACAGTTTTGCCGAGTATATAATTCTTGGTTGAAAATTTTTCTCTTTCAGGGTTTTATATATACCATCCCATTGCCTTCTCGCTTGCATGGTCTCTGCTGAGAAATCAGAGCTTATTCTTACTGGCTGTCCTTTGTAAGTAACTTTTTGTTTTTCCCGTGCTGCTTTCAGGATTCTGTCTTTGTCTTTGGTTTTGGTGAGTTTGATGATGATATATGTCTTGGTGTTTTTCTTTTGGGGTCTATCCTGTTTGGGGTTCCTTGGATTTCCTTAATGGATATATTCTCATCTTTCATCATGTCAAGGAAGTTCTCCAGCAAATCTTGGACAATTTTCTAAGTGGTTTTATTTTTCTCTTCCTGTGCTGGAATTCCAGTGACACGTAGATTATTCCTTTTGATGGTATCCCACATGAACCTAAATGCTTTCTTCATTTTGTTTTGATTTTTTTTCTGATTGATCCCTTTCCAAAGAAGTATTCCGGTATCTGTCTTCAATTTCATTAATTCTGTCTTCCATTGCATCAGTTCTACTCCTTTGGCCTTCCAATGTGTTATCTATTTCTGACAATTTAGTATTAATCTTCTGGATTTCTGTTAGTAGATTTAGAATCATTTCTAAGTTTTCATTTATTTTGTCATTTTCTTCTTGTATTTCTTCCAAAATTATTCTAAGGTTTTTTCCTTGGTCTGTCTGTCAATCCTTTGAAGATACCTAAATATAATTCTTTTGAATTCCTTATCAGAGAATGCCAATGGTGCTCCTTTCTCAAGGATGTGTTCTGGGTCTGTATCCTGTTTCCCTTGTTTCTGCCAGTTTATCTTGCTTCTTTGTGTGGACTGTGATGGTCTGTTGTCTCCAAGACAATGTGGTGTTGTATAAGACCTCTGTTAACTGTTTGTGAAGAGCATCCACAGGTGATCCAGGCTCTTCTTGGTGGTTTTTTATCATTGGCCCGTTGGTGGAGGAGGTGGTGGTGGCTCTCGCTCAGTAAGTGAAATTGTAGGAGGTGTGGGTGTAGTTGTATCTTATGGAGACTGTTACTGTCTCTCACTCACACAAAAATTACAATTGAATAACCATCAAAAAACTAAAAGCACATGAAAAAAAATTCACCATGTAATCACACAGGAACAATAACCAAAAAAAGAAAAAAGGGAGAGAAGAAACCCTGCAATATCTGGGAATAGGGCACTAAGACAAAAAAAGGTAGAGAAGGAGAATAATGAAGAAAAAAAATGGGGAAAAAAAAAAAAACAAGGAACGGGGTTAACCACGAGAAAAAAACGCAGGAAAAAAAAGAATTTAAGGAAAAAAAATTTTTTTTAACCAGGAACAGGCAAAAGAAAAAAAGCTGAAAACTAGGACCTGGGAGGGGAAGAATAAAGAATAATAGTAAAAAGGACAAAAGTATTAATAATAATGGTTGTTTTAAAACAGACAAATATGAGCAAACTAAACACCAGAAAAAAGAAAAAAATCGGCAGATGACAGGGCAGGACACCCAGGCTCTGTCCGAGCACACAGACTGGGATGGAGTTCCTGGGGGCCCAGAAGATGCGTGGGAATGGGGGATGGCCGCACCTCTGTTCACCAAGCAGGTGTGGGATATAAGAGTAAGAAGAGGAATGTTGCACCTTTTCAGTCGTGCAGGTCTGGAGTGTCCTTGGGGTTACTGGCAAGCAGAATGTCTTCTTAAGCCCCTGGAGTCTCCACTGTCTCTTTAAATATCCAAAATGGTAAAGCCGCTTGTAAACATTTAAAATGGTGGTGACCTCTGGACAGGCAAATCCACAGCTCAGCCCGTCTTCCTCTTCACCACTGCTTCCCCTTTTATTCCATAGCCACCAAAACAGTCCTCCATGCAGTCCTTGGCTAGTTAGGCTGATTTTTAGGTTAATTCTTAGGAATCCTACCACCACTCGGCACTCTCCAAGCTGTCTGTGCCATTGGGATCGCTGCCAGACTGCAGGTCCGTATGTCTCCTTTTTTGGTATTTTCATGTAAATTCTTCGCTAGTTGAGGTTTAGTCTGTATCCTTCCCTTCAAGGCTCAGGGGTCCAGTATTATCTTCTGTGTCTGTGTTAATTGGTTCACCTTTTCTTTGTTGAAGAGGGTCTGTGCAGACTTTCTGCCTATTCTGCCATCTTGGAATCTAACCTCCACAGTTCTGATAGTTATCATTGTTACGCCTTGGTTCTGAGAGCCAGTATCCTTGTTCTCTGCTGAAGCCCTTGCCAGTAGACAGTGAGGAGGAGCCAGTGGACCATGGCGGGGGACCTTTGGAGGCCCTGAGGGCCCTCTTCAGCATGTCACCTATGAGGGGCAGAGGGAGTTCTCATCTTCATCACCCAAGGCTATGCAGCCATATGATTTGGTCATGGAGTGAGTACAGCTGTGTCTACACCCCCTTGCTCCCAGCTGTAGTGTTTTCAAGATTGCACTGCAGCCTAGGACAGTCCCTCTGAACAAGGACCTGATCACCACTGACCCGTTCCTGCTTACCTTGTCTCATTGCCACTGGCTGTGCTCTTTCAGGCTGGTGCCCCAATGCGAGAGTAAGAAAGGACCCATGGCGCTTTGGCTTCTCACTTATTTCTGGGTGTATGGGGATCTATGTACCCTGTGTCCTAAAAAGTGTGAGCAGAGCAGAGCTGAGGCAAAGTGTTTAGTATTATCTGCCTCAGGTGTTTAGCCAGAAGATGACAATGAAGACTCCTGCAATTGCCCCAGTTAATCAGTAGCAGATTTCATCCTTTTGATCTTATGTTACTGTGCTTCTGGGCAACTACTTTTTCTCCCTGGGCACGGGCCCGGCTCTCTGGCCCCCCTGCATGGGACTGGATACTGCCTGTTACTTGTTCCTGTCAGAGACCAGCCTCTGCCCATCACCTCCTCATCTCTCACTGTTTTCTTTCAGAAAAGGAGTCTTTACATTGGGTTTTGGGGAGATAAACACACATGGGTGTGGTGCCTCAGGTTGTGCAGGTCCCGGGCTGCAGGGATTAGTAAAGCTGCATAGTTGTTAGTGCTTCCTGACTGTCATGTCTCTTTCCCACTCTTTCATCCAAGGGTGAGCCTGTCAGCCACAGATTGCTACATTGTGCACGAGATCTACAATGGGGAGAACGCACAAGACCAGTTTGAATATGAGCTGGAGCAGGCCCTGGAGGCACAGTACAAGTACATCGTGATCGAGCCCACGCGCATCGGTGATGAGACAGCCCGCTGGATCACTGTGGGTAACTGCCTGCACAAGACCGCCGTGCTTGCAGGCACTGCCTGCCTTTGCACCCCACTGGCTCTGCCCCTGGAGTACTCCCATTACATCTCCTTGCCTGCTGGTGTGCTGAGTCTGGCCTGCTGCACCCTCTATGGGATCTCTTGGCAGTTTGACCCTTGCTGCAAGTACCAAGTGGAGTACGATGCCTACAAACTGTCGCGTCTGCCTCTGCACACACTCACCTCCTCCACCCCAGTGGTGCTGGTCCGGAAGGACGACCTGCACAGAAAGAGACTGCACAACACAATAGCACTTGCTGCCCTGGTGTACTGTGTAAAGAAGATTTATGAACTCTATGCTGTATGATTTCAGGCGGGAAGGGATAGGATGCAAAAAGCCAAACCCACAGAGACAACAGTACTCAGATTGCTATAGTCACAGCTTTGCCCTGTGAAGCAGCACAGCCTGGGAAGGTGTTTGGTTGATATTTGTTACTTTTTAAAATCATGGGTAAACGATGGGGTTCTTCAGCTCATTACACTAAGATGTGGATGTCCGTCTTCCCAAGAAAGGGTCTGAAGCCATGGACATCTGACTGGGCACTGGTGTGCTGATGGAAGCATATGCTACTGAGGGGTGTGAATGCATTTTGGGGGGTGTCTTTAAGTATATTTAACTGTACCATCCAGAGCCAACCAGAAGCTAATGACTATTAAAATGATGAGAGTTGAAATTACAGGTGTTTTCTCTGTTCATGCTTTATTGCAGCTCACACATGTAGGGAGAGGGTACTTCAGTCCGCCCATGCTGCTCCTGGTGGCAGCCTAAGCTTTTCACCACAAAAGAACAGGCCTTGATCAGGGTTGGCCTGGACCTCAGGCATCCAGACTCCCCTAAAGCCATGATTCCCCTTGGTCTATCATCCCCAAGGCCAGCCATGTTAACATGCTGATATTTAGGGTGCAGCATGATAAAGGGGTATGGCCTAGAGGACAAGGTTCTGTTGGGTGCATGTGGGGCTTGAGGAACCTTCCTAAAATTCTGGTGTAGAAAGAAATAAACATCTGTTTTTCTAAAGTACCAATGCTGTTCCTGATACGTACCCTGGGTTCCCCTGCCTTAGTTGAAGGGTAGAGTAGCCTTCACAGCACTCCTGGCCTCTGGCACCACAGCCTGGTTCCAAAGCAGCAGATCACCGACCCCTTGCACAAGGCTAGCCACTGCCTGGGGCCTGTTCGAACAACAGCCCCCTCAGCCTTGCCTCATCTCCCACTGTTTTCTTCATTCAGAAAAGGAGCCTCTGCACCTCCAGGAGGGTGTACTGAGCGTTCTGTCACATTCCTTCTAGGGCTTCAATAAATGGAAAATTATGTCTTCCACAAAGCAATCAGGGATCCCTTACCGTAAAGTTCAACTTCCCTAAGACCTCACTCTCTGATCACCCCTTAAGAGCTATAGACTTATGCTCTCTGAAGGGCCACTTGATAGAGATAACCAGTTTGACTTTTGACCTAATTTAAACTGACCCATCAGGAAGGTCTGACGCAGAATAAGGGAGGGGTTCTTAACCTGGGATGCACAGGATGGCTTCAAGGTGGGGGTGAGTGACTCTGCCATTTTGGTAAGGAGTTCCAAACTTGAATTTCAAGATTTAAAAAGGGTCCCAAGACCCACAAATAACTAACGAAACTTTAATTCCAAGAGCCCCAGACGTACTAGCCACTCCTTGGAAGGAAGGTTGGGCAATCTACTTCCCTAGTGATACCGCTTCAGAAACCCAAGGAGGGGTCACTATGAGTCGGATCTGGCTCGATGGCAGTGAGTTTGGTTTAAGGCATACTATTCACCCATTTGAGCAATAGGTGGGAAAATGGTGCACACTGGTGTTTGCATAGCACTCTTTGATAATCTGGAACAATGATAAAGAATTAACTGCCTTGGCCACACAGTGATCCCAGATAAATACACCTCATTCCAACTGCATACTGAAACCCAGTGCCATGACCCCTCAGGCACCAAGGGTCAGCTTCCTAGCCTGCTGGGCAGGTGTAGTGATTTTGTAACAATAGTCCCAGGTTTGGAAAAGGAGCCCCTTGCTCTGCCTGGAGGTGCTCTGCCTGCAGATGTCAGAAGGGAGGTGCTGGAAGCAGAGCAGCTGCTCAGTCGGCTGAACAGAAGCCTTCACACAAAATAGAAACCTGTACAAGTAGTGCTGCTCCAACGTCCCTGAACAAAGTAATTCCTTTTGGGTGCACTAATCCAGACACTAAAATGTCATTTTAGTAATATGTCCCCTGGCCAAGGAGGGAACAAGGTGTGGCAACAGGGTGGGGCTGCACTCCAGGAGTCACTGGGAAGTTAAGCCAAAGAGAAACAGTGTGGGTCTGTTTACCCTCCCCTCCTAGTCAGTGCCAGGCTCTTCCACCTCTGCCACCCTCCTGAAAGGAGCTGACCTCACCATTCCTGACTTGGTTACCACCCTCTTGAAACATTAAAAAACTTCATTGATAATTGTCAACTCAGAGAAAGCAAGGGCCATATTCACAAAATTGGCTTCTCTGTGGACCCTTCCAGGAAACATGTAAGAAATGTTACCTAGTTTCAACTACTCACCTGAACCCCAATTTAGAGATGGGCCCTGGGTCCTGGCAGTTTGCCAGCTCCCTTCAGTCTGCACATCTGGCTCTGTAGCTGCTGGTCCTGCTATGGCAGAGAAATTGCCCGCTTAGTGCTGCTTGGGCCAACAGCGTGCCCATGTGACTGCCCATGCCATGTTCATTCCTGCCAGTTACTCCAGAACACAGATGTGCAGCTGTGCATCTGTGAAACATCTGGTCTTATTTCTCAGCCTTTGGTATTGGCATGATGCTGACTTCTGCCCTAGGCAGGGAAACACCAAGAGGTTCCAAGAACAAGGGTGAAAGTGTCTTTGAACTTTACCAGACATCTGAAGAAAGTTGAATTCAAGAATGATAAAAAGCCAGGACAAAGACACATGTTGAGGACAGGAAAGATAAAACGGGAGCAGTAGCAACACTACCACCCCTGATGACAAATGTTCAGATACTGGCTTAAATACATTCTATATCCCCAAAGTGTCTCTATAGAGTGATATAGTCTGTGTGGATAAGGGGGCATAAAAAATTCAGGCAAGCCTTTCCCATCAGTGACCTTTGTGCTGGCGTAGGAAGAAGTTACCTACAGAAGCTTTTTGATAATTCCCTGGGAAGTGTTGTCACTTAGTCAGTCTGCAACTAAGAGTGGCAGAGCTGTGGAATGATGGCTGTTTGGGGGCCCTCAGCAAGGTTCTGCTCCCCCTTGCAACTGAAGAGTGGCAATGAGTGTGTGGGGGTGGTGGGCTATGGTCTTCCTGCCTCTGGCACTTGATAGCCCAACTTGAGGTAGGCCTTTGGACCCAGCCTTTGGCACACAGCTACCTCTAGCTAGATTTAATAATTATTCAGTTTGCATTACATTATTTTCTATTTTTGGCAGATGATAACTGGGTTTTCATATTGGGTATAATACAGTGTTTTGAAATTAAGTTTTAGGAAGTGAATTAGGGTTAGATAACAAACACACCAACAGTATTGGATGTGTAAAGGGGGTGTCGAGGTTGAGCAACCCCTCAGTTTTTCACTCTGTACCAGGTGCTGACCCATATCCCTGAAAAAGGGCTTGGTGGTGTCCTAACCAGCCTGTCTAATTGGCTCTAAAACCAACAGCTTTAACATGTGGTCTTCCCCATCTTCTGAGGAAGGAATAAGCTGCTGTTACACTTGGATTCCTCAGCTGTGGGGATCTTCACTTGCTGACAACTTTAGTTCATGTAGAAAAAAGGGTAGTACCTGGACATGAAGCCAACAAATGCCAGCTCACGAGTGTCCAAGTGGTGCAGTACTGTCATCTAGGACAGCACTCTGTCCCTGTTAGAACCTGCTATGCACTAAGTAGTTTAGACTACAGACAGGGGTTCCCTTTAGAGGGGTGTATGGTGGCTCTAATTTTAATGTCTAGCATGAAAACTAAAGATGACCTTCACCTTCCACATAAGGAGGGAGGCTGATGGTGGACACAAGATGGAGACCCACCCATCCATGTTTCAAGCGAAGAGCCCTGGAATGCCCACATTGTGCTGTGAATGGTTAAGTTCCCAGATTTCACCATCCCCTCCCCTCCCAGAGGAATCTTGTCCTCTCTCCTGGGGCAGTGCCCACAATCCAAGCTCCTCAGGCCAAAGCTATGACAATTTGAGTGCCAGTGTGCTACACAAGATTTTATTCCAATTCTGGGAAGTCTACAGTGGACCCAGAAAAGACAGTTTAAACTGTCAGTTTCAACAGAAGTTCTTCCTAAACTTCAGCACTGAATTTGACCTACTCAGTGAAATTCAACCATGTATTTTTAATACACTGAAATAAGGGAAAGCAATTATGTTTTTGGCTTGGATACCAGAAGTTACAGCTAACAAACAACAGCTCCATCAGCAGACTGCTATTTGCAGAGCTCCCCCAACCAGTGTTCTTAGAAGTAGGTAGGACCACAGGGCGCCCCCTCCCTCTGGCTGCTGTCTCAGCAAGGATGTGCTGGGTTCTGCAGGCTTCTATGAGGTTGACAGGGCAGCCAGGGTTCCTGGCCTGATGCCTGCTTTCTCGGTCGGTGTATGCCAGATGCCTGGTCACACATGGGCCAGTTTTCTACACCTACTAGGGGATTAGAGAGTCCAGATTTGCACATGAATAATGATTTCTTAAAACTGCAGCCTTCTCCCTCAAGTACTGAAAGCACAGTCTGCCAAAATAATTAGGTAAGTGGTCTTGGATAAGTCAAAAGTGAGAGCAACTGGATCAGGTGATATCATGACTTCTGGTTCCAAGACTAAAAAAATTTCTAGGAGCTGCTGAGGCTAGAACTCAAAAGGAGGTATGTCCTGTCAGTTATTGAGGACTATGGCTCCTATATACTCCTCTCATTTACTTCATGTTTTTAAAGTTAAAACCCAGCTCCATGTTTACTCACCTCTAGAAAGAATGCTCACTATCTTCTTTGGTTCCCATTCTCTGCTAGTAGGGGCCTGGCCAGGGGTTTGTAGATGTGCCTGCCCATCTTTCCCACCAGGAGGCAAATCTCAATGTCCCACAGATGCAGGCATCCCTTGTAGAACAACCAACCTAGGAAGGTGATGCCTTCTCACCCTTGCTCTGGCCAGAACTAAGAATCCTTGGATTTCCGCTCCTTTCGGGCCCTAGCAGCCATGAGGCTGAAGAAGAGCCCAGGAGCTAGAGTTCGAAGGTAAATGGCCAAGTAAGGCAGCAGGTCAGCCAGGATAACATCTTTTTTCTTCTTTCCCACAGCAGTGAGCACATCTTGGGCTACCTCTGTGGGGCTCCGACCTTGGACCGTGGTCTCATCCATAACTAAAATACATAGAAGCAAAAGAAACATGAATGTGGAAGCTGAAGTCCCTTGGGGACGTGGGCTGGTAGAGCCATCAGGTTCCCCACTGCAGCCCCCACACAACTGCCCCAAGTCTGCCGGGAGCCAGGTAGAGTGCCAACAACCCTGGTTACTTCCTACTAAGTGGGAATGCAGTTCACTGTGGGGAAACAGAGGGTGAGGGAGGCCTTTTCACATTAGTTTTTGAAATTAGAAAACCCCTCATTCTGGTTTATTTCTTTGGTGCCAGTGGAGTACTGTGCTCATGGGATCTATTCAAGGGTGGCCCTTGATCAATTAGCCTGGCCCCACAGTGGGTCAGTGGGCCAGTTCTGTGAACATTCGCTGGAGGCCACAAGCAACACATCCCTCAAGCTGGAGGGTGATATAAGCTGCTATAATGTAGCTGACACCCTAGTGATAGGCCCCAAGGTGTCCTCTGTGCCAGGATTCTGGGGAAGAAAAATGGTTTTCCCAGATACAAGATGGAAGGGCTCCCTCCCTGAGAAGCCATCAGACTAGCTGGTACAGCATGCATATGTAGATTATCTCAGGAATGGCTCATGAGTCCAGGTTTCTAGCCAATGCAAGCCCAGCTGTGAACACTGGAGAGCATTGAAGGAGTGACAAAGGTGGTCAGGGAGTCAAGGAGCAAAGCCTGAAGAAGACCAAAGGGCTAGGAAGACTTGGTTTTTGTCTCCAAAGTGATGGGAGCCTCTGCCACAGTCAAACCCAGCTCAACTTCATATCTCACAACATGGGAGGAAAAAGCCCAAGGGTCTGTGCCTGAGAGGCTGGGACTTCCCAACAGCAGAGGGCCTGGGGGTGGGGGACAGGTGGTGGTATTGAAAATATTATACTAGGGAACCCCAGATGTGCTTTAAACAAAAGAGAGTCTGAACACTTAAGGTTCTAAGACTTAGGCAAAGGCAGGCCCAGATGGGGTCCCCAAGAGCGAGCCCCTCACCACATCTGAGGAGCTTCCAGGCCTTAAAAAACCTAGCCAGTTGGAGCAGTCACTCACTAAGGGATGTCGTATTACCTATCTGTCTTGGGTAGCGTGGCTTGAAGATGGGAGAGGACCATGGCCTCTATGCCCACAAGCTCACCAAAAGCAAAAGTCAAAAATGGGTGGGAATAAAGACAACTTGTCTCAGTTTCTGATGCCATGTGTTAACTGGATAAGAAAGAAATCCTGTTTCATTTTAGGTGTTAGATGAGACAGCCTAGGGAACCGATGCTCCTTTTCCCTTAGTGGTTGGTCTGACTTTTCCAGCAAAGCCTGACTAACTGGCAGGCAGAAGCCACCAGCACAGGACACTTGAAACTATTCTCAATTTGTGCTTGTGCCTGAACTTTCTCAACAGGGTCTGTTCTCATTGTGTTTTTGTAGAGAATAGGAAGTTTCTGATTATTGCTTACTTTTAAATGCTACCAGAGAGAAATTTTTAAAAAGCATATTCCTGGTGTAACCCTGTTTGAAGCCCTCTGGCCTCATACTTCTGTGTTGTTTCTAGGGTGGGGAGAAATGCCTGCTGAGAAAGGTGCACCAGCCAGTGTAGGGCCATCTTGGCACAAGTCTGGTAGGGGGCACAGGCCTGGTGGGGGGTGCATAGGGCCTGGGGTGGAGGAAGGTGGCAGGGATGCAGGACAAGGGGGCAGAGAGCCAGCTCCAAGGCACCACTACACATAGGTCAACTCTGACCTGACTTGCAGGAACCTCCTGGTTTCTGCTGGGCACATATGCTGGGCCAGGTGGCCCACGTGATGCCTGAAAGGTTAGTAGTTCAGACACACTCTGAAGCCAGGTCTGAGGCTCTCAGAGGCCTTTCCCAGCTTCCCCCAAAGACTGAACTTCTGCTGAGTGCTCTGGGATGGGCATTTCTCAACACATGGGGTAGAGAACGTCTCAGGTCAAGAAACCCACTTTTCCATGAGGATAATCTACTTTAAACCTTGAGAAGTGAGTATCCCAGTGATACTCCTTTGCCCCTACAGAATGGGGCACTTGGCAGTTTTGGCTTGAAGACTTTCTTTCTATCCCTCAAAGCCTTGGTCTGCTTCAAAAGCTGCTGATGCTAGGGCTAAGGATGGCTCATGGTGGTAAAGTGAAGGTTACTCAATAGTCTGTCCCTGCAACCAGCAACCACAGAGCAAGACTTCTAGTTTTAACAATCACATTCCAAATGAGAATGACCAGAGGCCCACTCAAGTAAGAGCAATGCACATGTCACAGTTTGTGCAGGAAGGAAGGGGTTTTACCTCCATATCTGGAACCATCAGCAGTGATGGCATTCAGGGAGAGGTTGGTGTGGATATAGCCTGGGCTGATGACAGTCACTTCAATCTCATGCTCCTCCATCTCAGCACGCAGACAGTCAAAGAATGCCTGGGTTGCATGCTTGGACGCTGCATCTGCAAAGTGGTGTGGCCGAGAAACAGGTGAATGCCCCAAGGTGGGACACAGCCCACATACTCATCCCCATTCTTCCTCTCAGATCACAGTAGATGATCAGTGCTCACTTCTTGCTTTTGATAATGGCACTGTGCCCAGGTTCTCAGGAAACACACTTAAGTATTTAAAATTAGAGGACTGTGTCTCCATCCTTCTCAAATGGTTCAGAAAAAAAACAAACAAACAAACAATAAATTAAATACACACACACACAAGAGTATATAATAAAACAAATGTGGTAAAATGTGAACAATTGGGAAATCCATGTGAAGATATATAGGAGTTCTTTGTACTGTTTGTGCAACTTTTCTTTATGTTGGAAATTATTCCAAATTAAAAGTTAAGCAAAAAATTAATGCCTTCTGGGTAAAATGGGAGCTCTGGTAGCACAGTGCCTAAGGCATTTGACTACTAACCAGAAGGCTAGTGGTTCAAACCCACCAGCCACTCCTCAGAAGAATGACTGGGTAATCTAATTCCATAGAGATACTGCCTCAGAAACCCAAGTAGGGGTTGCTATGAGTTTAATCGACTCAATGGCAGTTTTTTTTTTTTTTTTTAACTGGGTAAAATATAGGTATTTGGGTGGTACAAGCAGTTTGTGATCAGCTACTGACCTAAAGATTGGAGTTTTCAAACCCATCCAGAAGCACTATGAAAGAAAGGCCTGGCAATTTGCATCTGTAAAGATTACAGCCAAGAAAATTCCATGGGGTGTTAACCTGTAACACATGGGTGGCTATGAGTCGAGGCTGATCTAATGGCAGTGGACTTTTTGGTATGGGTAAACATTCAGTAGCAAAGGGCAAAACAGTGACTGCCCCCAGTCCTACTCTCAGAGGTCATGGATGCTGAGTTTCTCATGACTTATTTTTCATATATTCTATGTATGTACATGTAATTTGACACAGAAGTATTTTTTTCATAGGAGTTAAACCATATTGTTCCTGCACATGGCATTTCCCCTGGTCATGTATGTAAGCAGCTCTCTATGTGGCCCCTGCAGACCCACAAACTGCTGCAGCCACATGCCCCCTGTTGGGCCAGTTTGCCAGTCAGGACTGATCAACAGATGGCCTTGGTCGGCTGTGTCCAGTTGTCATCACCCAAATGGCGCAGACAGTGAGCACTCAGTGTGGGTGAGTGCACCTTGGCCTATGTTCTCTGTGTGCCCTCTACCTGGCAGACCCCACAGTGGGGGTCTTTACCAGGGTGCTCAGGCTCCTGTCTCTGCTCTCAAGAACACTCTGCACAAGAAAACAGAATGGGCATCTATGGGAAACTAGTGTTCTCTCTCATTCAGACCTCTGAATACTTTAGCTTTGGGGAAAAAAGGGCATGCATCAGCCAAGAAAAAATGGCAAAGAAAAACCAAGGATGTGGTACAGGAAGTTGCCAGAGGCACCACTCGGGTTTTGAACTTGTTGCTGAGACTTTCAGAAATGGTGCCTTTGGGTCAAGTCACAGTACAGAGCTGGGTAGTTTGAGGTGTGGCGGGAACTGCCTACTAGCCATGACTCCAGGAGTGTAGCCCAGGCCTGAGGACAGGGAAGACTGGCTTTTCTTGGGAGTCTTCCAAGGGTTCTCAGGCCATGAACCCTCAGCCAGGCTGTACAACTACAGTCACCAGTCATGCCCTGTGGGAAGGCCTGGCATAGGCCCTCCATGGTGGTCTCTCCAACCCACTGACCAGCATGTGCAGGGCACACCACTCTCCAGCAAGAACACTTACCCATCAGGCAGCACCAGGTCACCAGGAGAGTCTCTTGCAGCCAGAGTTCAACAAGAGAGCAAGGATCAGGCAATTTAAATTAAAATAGAATATGAGAATGATTTTAAACTTATAGGAAAATTGCAAGAATATGAACAGTACAGAGAACACTATATCCTTGATGCCGATTTACCTATTATTTACATTTTACTTAATTTAATTTATTGTTTGTAATTACACATGACAAACTTTTTTTTACTGAACCATCTGAGTGGCTTTTAAGAGTGACTGCCATGCTGTCTCTTGCTCTCTAAGCCAAAGTAGAGCCACAGACACATACAGGGCAACGTACCCCACAGCTTCCACAGAACTCTTCATGTCCACTGTCTCATTCATTATCTGAGCAGCCCCATGAGGCAGCAACAATGACTGTTATGTTTCATTTTGTAAGTAAGGACCTTGAGGGGTAACTAACTCATACTGACCCTATAGGACAGAGGATAACTGCCCTATAGAGTTTCCAAGGCTGTAAATTTTATAGAAAGTAGACTGCCTCAGCTTTCTCCCATAGAAGGCCAGTGGGTTCAAAACACCAACCTTTCAGTCAGCAGCTAAGTGCTTTAACAACTGTATCACCAGGACTCTTCCTAAGGTCATATAATTAGAACTTTAAAGGCAGAGTAACTGCCTGTTACATTTCCTGTTCAGATGATGGGTTACACTGCAGGATGGGACTAGACTCTGGTCACTGTCTTTTCAGAGTGCAGAATCAGCTCTGGCCCCTGACAGCCCTGCAGCTGGAGGGATGACCAGCATCTAGAGGTGGGTTGATATGGCTGTGCTTCCTCTTAGAATGAACAAAGAAATGTCCTTGTAGGATAGATTGTGAAATTACTTTTAATATCTTCAAAACAACCCCTCAGATTCTATGCTTGCTAGTATGATGGTGGATAGGAGCATGAAACAATCTTGTCAAATTCTGGCACAGCCCCTCTCAGACATGTGGCATAGAATGTGAACTGAAAGTTGATTTGGCAGTTAAATTTTTGGGCCCTACCCAGTATTTCAACTTCGTGTATTTTATCTCATTGAAACTTCCCAACAGTGCCCAGAGATGGACATATTAGGGAGGTTCTACACAGCACATTATTGCTGATAGAGACCCTACAATAGAAACTCTCCTGTGTTTGGTAGGAGGAAATGGCTACATAATTGAGGCCATGTCCCTTCAATGGGTCACAACATAGCTCCAAAGGGTGAGTCAGATCCTCTGCTGATGTGGACCAAGGAACTGCAAGTAGAATAAGCAAGCCAAACACATGATCTCATTTGTTTGTTTGATTATATATAGAAAAAAATAGGGGGCATTTGCACCAAAGTGGTAAACTGGTTGTGTCTGTGGATGATGATGACTACTAACACCAGCAACAGTGGCTGGTATTTTATTTCATTGTGCTCAGTGCCTGGTGCGGCTCCATATACTTTACTCAGTACACACAGATTAGCTCATTAATCTTCTCCACATCCTCTGAGTTTGGGCTTGGGATTGTCCCTACTTTGCAGCTGAGGCCTGAGGTACAGAGAGGGGGGCATTGGCCCAGGGCTACATAGGGTGAAGAGTAGAGCCGGGACTTAAACTCAGTCATGTGGCTCCAGAGTTTGCAGTCCAGTGAAGTGCTTTCACTTTCTGTATGGTGTATTTCTGTAATGTTGGAATTCTGCATAGTAAATGTGTTATTTTCACAACGACAAAAAAACATCAACGAAAACATTTAGGGAGAAGAAGTACTCACAGGCCGATCGGAAAGGAATGCTGATTTTGCCCTGGATGCTGCTGATCACAACGATGTGGCCTTGTCTCCTCTCAATCATAGAGGGCAGAAGTGCTAGGAAAGAGGGCTAGGCTTTAGAGGGACCTCCTCTTTGGTCAGTGGTTCCTGACACTAAGGAGACAAAATTTAACTACATTTAGTGAACAAGGAAGGTGAGCAATGACAGCCTTTCAGGGTAGAGAACTATGTTCTACTGGAACTCTGAGGCCTCCTGCACCCAGCCTTCACAGGCAGGAGGGAAGGGAGCAGAAGGAAGCAGGAAAGGAGATGGCCTGGGCACTCTCCACAGCAGCTTAGCCCTTGGTCTTCTGTAGAGCCTTTTACCTGACTGCAGACTGAACACATCCCCATACTGTAAGGGTCTAAGACACAATAAAGGAGGTGTGGAGGCAACACTATGCAGCCAAAACTGTCTTGACTTGAAGCTATAAAGCAGAGAGAAAAAATGCAAATAAATGCCTGAAAAGGCAAAAACCCCAGCCATAAAGACAGTGCCCACTGCCAGAAGAAGTAGAAGACAGGTGAACAGCCATGTTTAGCTGAAAAAAGTCTAAGTTTAAAAAAAAAAAAAAGATGGCCACATATCAGGATTCTGGATTTTTTTTTTTCTTTCAGACCTAAGATAATTTACCTTTTGTTAATGCAACTGGGCCAAAGTAATTTGTCTCCATCACTCTCTTGTCCACATCCATGGTGGTGTCTGTGATGGTGCCACGATAGCTGATTCCAGCATTGTTGACCAGTATGTCTACATAGCCAAAGCACTGCAGGATCTGGGCTGTCGCGCCAACAACAGAGTCAGGGTCAGCCAGGTCGAAGGTCACCATATAGGGCTTGTATGTCTGCACCTGGTCAAACACAGCATACACCAAACTTACCTTCTAGGTGATAGGGGTTCTGGAAGTGGCCACTGGGCATGAACAACGTAGGCTGCAGTCAGGGGTTCCTGCCACAGTGCACATGTCTGTGGATATGCGTACCTTCTTTCTCATGGAAAATGGAGCTGAGGCCCCCTTAGCTTCATCACCAGAACGAATCCCACAGTGCAGGGCTCACACTGATAGAGATTACAAAGATGTGTATAGAAGCCCCCTATACCAGCATGGGACTGGCATGGTCATTACTTCACATTCAGTGGTTCCTTGCTGAGAGGTAGTGGTACGCTCAGGACAGGCAGTTCCACTCAGTTTTCATGGAAACAATTTTTTACACACCCCCTATGTGCCAAACACTGAGGATATAGCAGAAAGCAAGACAGATGTGGGTGTTGCTCTCCAGAGGCTCACGGTCTAGCAGGGCAGACAGACAGACAAACTGTAAATAACACCATAAAGGAGGACAAGAGTGAGAGGAATGAATTGCTGAGTACTGTGACTTATGTGAAGGAGTTCTGGTGGTACAGTGCCTAAGGCATCTGACTGCTAACCAGAACGTTGGTGGTTCAAACCCACCAGCCGCTCTGCAGAAGATGGGGCAATATATTTCCATAAAGATCTACCACCTTGGAAACCCAATGGGGGTCACTATGAGTCGGAATGGACTCAATGGCAATGAGTTTTTTTTGTTTTTTTTTTTTGAGTGACTTATGTGAATAGGGTTAGCTAAGTAAAGGGAAGAGGGTAGGGCAGACAGTCTTCTCCACAGAGGGAACCTCCCAGTGCTAGTAAATGGTGGAGTCAGAACTTGAACCAGTCATGACTGAGAAGCTCGAGGGCACCTAAGGCCATGAGACCCAAGCTACTTTCAGGCCCAGTGCCTCAGGTACTGCCATTCCCATGGCGGCTGGTATAGGCTGTGGGGAGTCAGGGTTCTGGGTGGCAACTCCTCAACCCCTGTGGACAGCACTACCTTGGGCTCACCTTGGTGGCACGAGGTGTGGCAAGGTCTCTGGTGAGCTCTTCCAGGGCTTCCCTGTTCCGGCCACAGAGCACCAGCTTAGCACCTGTAGCGTGGAAGACTTTGGCACATTCTAAAGGAAGAAAAAAGAATGCTGACCCCTGAAGAACATGCCTTCTCCCCCTGTATGGTGTAGCTAAACTTAGTGTGCTTCAGAGCTAACATGTGTGAGCCCTGCTAGGACCTAAAGACACCAGGTAGCAAGGCCCTGGGATAAAGCAGCTCTCACACTCCTCTTACAGAGTTCCTGTCACAAGGTAAAGGAAAAGGCAGGGGGCAAGCAGACTGTCAATACTGTGCTCATGGCTGACCTTGTTTAACCCTGACAACACTGGGGGCATTATGCTCACTCCCACTAGTGAGCTGGATGGGCAGGCAGTGCCACGGCTCCCACACATGGTCTGCAAGGCCTGTGCTCTAGCAACACCTAGACTACTTCCCAGGTCACTAATGCCATAGGCACATCTGACAGGGTATAGATGTGTGTGTGGTTCTGTAAGGAAACAGGGTAGCAGCAGACTGAGAAGGGGCAGGAAGCTCTCCCAAGGAGTCCTGAAGCATGCATGAGTAGGAGTCTCCCAAGAGAGTGCTCTCTTAGCAGAAGGAACAGAGTATGTCAGCACCTGGATGGACAGGTGACACTGGACAGAAAGTAGGGGCCTAAGAAGTTTTCTGGGGTAGGAGAGGGGCTCTGGCAAGGAAATCACACAACTGGAGTTACAAATTATTGCGAAGGGGTGCCACTGAGCCTACTGGTACACTCCAAGTAAGTGATAAGGACTTTAATTAGGACTATGAAGCTAGTTGGGCATCGGTATTAATCAATGTTGTTTTGGCAGAAAAAAGAAACTCAGTTCAAACTGCGGCAAGCAAAAAAAAGGATTCATTGATTCTGGGGTGGCTTTGGGAATTGGGAGCTCTGGTGGCGTAGTGCCTAAAGCATTTGACTGCTAACCAGAAGGCTTGTGGTTCAAACCCACCAGCCACTCCTCTGAAGGAAGGTTGGGCAATCTACTTCCATAGTAATACTGCCTTGGAAATCTAAGGAAGGGTTGCTATGAGTCAGATCCAACTCAATAGCAGTGGGTTTGGTTTTGGTTTTTTCTTTAGCTAATGGCCACATCTTAGGAGTAGGAGTACAGCTTTCACCAGCCCCTGAGCAGGAATTAGGCCTTTCCTCCACTTCATCCCCTGGTTCAGCTTCTCCATAAGACTCTGGGCTCACAGCCACATTACTCCCTTCCAGACAGACAGTATAAGGCCTCTTTCTCATTTCCTGATAACTCTGGTCAGAATCCCCAGGGCAGGCTGTGGTCAGAGAAAGCCCAGCTTGGCTGATAAGATGCTCTATGGCTGCGGGTCTGTTAAGAGAAGGTGGGGGAAAGCAAAAGACCTGTCTTCCCCCACAGAGGTAGAGAGGGTAAGTTGTCAGGCCTGGGACAGGGAAATGCCCTCGGCTTCTCATCCTCCTCATGGATGCACCTTTGGCCTGAAGTCAGCAGCTCCTGAGCAGCAGAACAGTAGGTGATGCAGAGAACATGCTCTAGCCAGACTTCCTACCAGCTACCCCTGCTAGCTCTGTGACCTGGGGTAAATTACAGACTTCTTTGCACCTCATTTTCCTTTTCTGTAAAATGCAGGTACAAATAGTACCTACCTCAGCGGTGAGAGGGATTAAATGAATTAAAACATACAAATCCTTATTATTGTGCTAACAGGTAACAATCACTATGGAAGTGTTCTTTTTTTATTCCTAAGCTGCCTATTTCACCTATTCTAAAAGTTGACGGTTGGTGAAATTTAAAGTGCATGGGCTTACAGTGACATTGCCTGTCCTCACCCCGAAGTCTTATTTCAACTTATTTCAACCCATGGCAAGGCACCTCAGAAGGAAGGCCTGGTGATCTATTTCTACAAAACCAACTATGGACAACCCTATGGAATAAAATTCTATTCTGATACACATGGTGCCATCCTGTGTTCTAGTCTACCTCAAATGCCAAGGAAGAATGTGGGTCTCCTGGGTAGCTGTGCTAAGCAACTGAGCAGCTGGCAAGCCACCCATGCTGGACCAAATGGTTGGAGGTCAAAGAGTCACAGTGTCACAGTCATCCCTGGCTCATGGAGGGAGGGCTGAGCTTGCCCTTGTACAGGTAGTCCCATCTTGGGGGCAGCTGTGCAGCCAAGCCAGAGGGGAGAAGGTCAACAGGGTTCAGGCAGGGTGTCCTGGTCTGGACAGCCCTTTTATCACAACAGCATCAAGATTCCTTCAGGACTTAGCCACTTTCTTCAGAGCAAGTTTTTCACTGTCCACGTGGTCCTAAGGTTCAGTTTTTACAACACTGCATAGCCCCTCTTCTAGCTGCTCTCCAGCTGTAGTGCAGTTCCCAGGTGGTACAGCCCAAAGATGGGGCTTTCTAAGGAGCTGTAACATGTCTTCTTTGAAGGAGAGTGGCTGGCTGGTTCATGGGTCAGCCTAAGTGACAGGCACAAACCCAGAGCTGTGGCCACCACAGCAAAAGTCCCATAGGTACCAGGGTGGGTGCGGTAATTGACATTTTGGAGGTGACAACAAAGGATGTGGACACAGAATCAAAGTGGGGAGGAGCTTCTGGAAAATGACTGCCTAGACTCTTTGTAAGCTTTCCTTCTTAGCAAAGCCAAAAAGCAAATAAAGTTTGTGTAGGAAGTGACAGAAATGAAAACAGATGGGAAAAAATTCAATTTTCATTTCTTGAAAAAGCAGATTCAGGGAGGCAAGAGGTTCAAGTGAAAAACGACCAGTTCTAACATTCTGCTGATCTAGGGCTGCTGTGCTGCCAGCACTCCTAGGTTGTAAATCATGACATCCACGTCCAGAACATTCTATTCCTTTAGTAAGTGGTCCTGCTGTTTTGTAAGAACAAGTGTATGTGGCTTAAATCCACATCTGGAAAGCTATCCAAGCACTCATCAACTAACCCTAGCTTTAGGGTGGATGATGTGATAAGCAGAGCTACAGAAGACACTGGAATACTCCTCTTCAAACAGCTAAGAAACACCAACACATCCGTGGTAGTCATTAGCTGTGGTATGTGTACTTGAGGTGGCTGGTTAACAAGCAGTTCCTAGTTTATCTGGGTAGATGAGAAACAGATAGAGACTCTTGCTCCTAAATTGTTAAATGGTACAGAACATAAGCAAAATGATTTGGAGTACGGGAAATGCCTGCCATAACATATTGTATATAAATTTTTTTCAATGAATTCTTCTGTTCCCTTCACAGTTTGGTGTCTGGAAGACAAAATGTGGGGTCAAGAAGAGGATAACATCTTTCTCATATGTCTGCCTATTGCAGTACCTGCAACTTACTCTTTCTTTCTCAGCTACCTCTCTGGGATCATGAGATGCAGCTGCTTACCCCCTATATATAAGAGCTGATTGAGGTCAAAGCCCTGGCTGGTGGTTCAGGCCTGGGGACAACTGTCCCAAGATCCAGTGACAGGCCTAGACTCACCTGAGATCTTGCCCAACATCCACAATGACATGCCTGTGAATCCAGCCTCCCAAAAACCTTCCCTGAACTCTCCCTCCCATTGCCAATGGCAGGCCATTCACCCCCTAGATATAGGCACTGTGCTTTGTGTCCCTGCACTACTAGGCTAGCTCCTGCCCCAGGCCCAACCACTTCACCTGGTTATATTCCACACAGGTGAGACTTGAAGACTGAGTTCCTGAGTCAGAGAGGCATGGGTTTGGGTCTTGGTTTAGCCCTTTCTAACAGGATCCTAGGGCAAGTCATGCCTTCTTTGAATCTTAGCCGTGAAAACTCTAAGATGCATGCAAAACACTACTGGCAGCCTGGCACACTGAAATATGCTACCCATTACTGAAATGGCAAATCACTGTGGTCAGTCACTGCCAGTCCCCACCAGACCAGGAAGTCCTCCAGGGAAGAGGCCCTCCCAGCCATCTGTCCTGGTATGTGGCACAAAGCCTGGTACACAGGAGATAAGCAGTAGTGGGCTGTACAATTACATCCAAAGATGTAGCACCTAGGTGTTCTCTGTGATCCAGGTTGCCTCTTGGTCTTCCTCCATGGAGCAGAGCTATAGTGCAGTGGCAAGGTGGGGAGGTGCATGAATGGGTGGATGTAGGGAAAGGGGTAGGGATCCCATACCATGTGTGTTTGTTTCCAGAGTCAACACAAATGTCGGGGGAGTGTGGTAGTTAAAACTGTGTGTCAACTTGGCTGGGCCTGCTTTTGAGTGGCTGGGCAGCTGGATGTATTTATTCCCCATGATGAGACTGGAAATCATCCCCATGGTAGAATCTACTAAAGCAGTTGCCTTAGGGATGGGGTCTGCTTCCAATATGTAAGAAGCTTTAAGAATGATCTGTGAGCTTTCTGGCATGCTTGGAACCTCCATATAGCAGAGTCTTCATTCAGCAGCCTGCCATGTTTTCTGCCAATCCTGGAACTGTCTCTGGAACTGAACCCTGCCATACTGTTTCGTAATCTTAGGACTGTGCCATTTTATCCTGTCAACCTTGGATTTGTCAGCCTCAGCAGCTACCAGCTGCCTGAGTTAAGAGTAGCCTTTAGCTTCAGTGGGCCAGGAGCAAGAAGTAAAGCTGAAGCCCAAAGTTGAGGGGCTTTCACCCAGTCCCTAGAGTTGGCACTTTGAACTTGGATTTCTAGCCGCCTAAACTCAAATCACCCACTTGTGGTATTTCTGTTAGAGCGGCACTAGAGGACCAAAATGGAGAATAACAGATGTGCCCCCAGCTCACACATAGGGGCTCCAGAATAAGCCTGGGCCCAGGTCCCAGTGCACACATTAACTGAACTCGGGTGGGGCACCACTGATGACGTGGTCAGGGAGAAGCTGAGCTCCAATGAGCTGTCCCACCCTACCAAGACTGTGCCCCAAGGACAGCCACAGTATGGCCTTGGTCCAGGGAAGGAGCAGGGCCAGCACATGCTGAGGGCAGGCTGGCTGGTTCCAAGAAAAGCCAGGTCTTGTTTGGCCCTCTAAGAGTTAAAAGCATTGTTCTGATTAATCATCTATTTCAAAATTGGAGCTCTCCCTGGATATTCCCATTTCAACAGTTGCCTGGAGCTGAGCATTAAACCCCCTAAGAGGGGCAGATAAATCATCTCCAGTGTCACTGTTGTCACTGCCAGCTTTATCTTCCAACACTGATGTTGAGTTATGGGCCACTGGTTAACGCACTTGAGCATTGCTCTCTGCAGAGGACAGCACATACTGGCTGTCCCACATCACCCAGCCTGTTCCATTTATATACCCTTCTAGCTGCCACTGCAGGCACTGGACCCAATGCACCCTGTGCAGACACTCTATCCAACAGTGGCCACCCACCTTTGCCCAGCCCAGAGGTGGCGCCTGTGATGACCACAACAGCATCCTGCAGGTAGGCCTTCATGCGCATCTGCTGCAACAGCTTAAAGAGGCTGAAAACACCCACACAGCCGAAGAGCAGGGGCAAGATGGCCATGGATGTGATCAGGTCCATAATCCTTCTCTTCAGAAGGCTCCTCCTATAAGAACAAAACAGATACATCAGTGACGAGGCAGAGCAATTGGGGAACCTGCCTTTCCTCTGTGCTCTGGTCAAGGGCCCAGTTCTAAGCCCAGTGCCCCATTCAGGCCAGTGCTCTTCACCAGGTACCTTGTCCTCCACCTTGCATGGGGACCCACACATAGCCCAGCCATAGACTTCATGACATCCTCAAAGGCACACACGGTGGTTCCAGAAAATGCTGAGACTGGGTGTTGTGCTTGGTGCTCAGCCCCAACAAGTGTGAGTGACAGGAGGTGGGTAGAGGATCAGTGCTTCCCTGGGTCTCCCTCACAGACCTCTGTGGGGAACTTAGGTAATGACATTAGCACTTTCAATCCCTGAATATTTGTGAAACTAGAAAAAAAGGGGACACAGAACACTTCCTACTCTTCATGAAGGACAGCTATTCTGTGTGGGGCCACCCCTGGGTTGTACCATGGTGGCCCCCATTTGTACCCTTGACCACAGGGTCTTACAGTGCCCAAAGGGAGGCTGATTAAGGATGAAGCTGCTCTTTGCCAAGCTGTGGTGCAGGGCTCAGGCTACTAACGTGGCTCCCTGCTGTGCATCAAGGTCTGTCTTTGATCAGAGTCTCCATGAGCTGCAGTCTGCCTGAGGAAATCAGAGGTCACAGGAGTTTGTGCAACAAGCACAGTCAGTTCTCAGGAAATACCTTGTTTTTCCACTACTCCTCTTCATTTCCTTAGTTCCCCACCCATGCCCCTAGGCCCAAACTGACAGCTAAGAGGGAAAACATAGGAATAAAGAAAGGCTAGGACGAGCCAGTGATGCTACCGCTGTGTTCTGTAACTCTGAAGGAAAATGCTCAATGGGACAACCCAACAAGGGGGCAGAGTCTGCTCAGGAAAATTGAGAGCAGGGTTCTTGTAAACTAGCCTAAAGCCTGAAATTAGTCATCAGCTGAGAGTAACTATGTGAAACTCTTACCCACCCCACTGCCCATTCCATCTCCTCAACCTCACATTTAAGGAAACCATCCTGCTTCCTTTCCCATGCATGACAGACAAAGCCACTACATGTGTCCACCTGCTCCCAAAGTAGCCCTGGTCCTGAAGTTCACCCTCAGGTGGGCTGTCCTGTAGCTGAGCTGAACTGCCCACTGCACAAAATTCTGCTTCTAATCTGAACAGGCAACCCAACTCATTTAGTATTTCATTTTTACCTCCTCTTCCAAATACATTTAGATTCTTAACCAGCACAGAAAATTAACACTCTTGGACAAACATCTATAAAAATGAGTCTCCCATCCTGGACTAGCCTGACTACTGACTTCTGGGTGGAGGCAGTTCATTCTCACTGTGTATGGTGTCAAGTCCACAACTGATGGACAGGGCATGAACATAGTTCTGAAGGGCCAGCTTTCTGCCCAACAGAATGCTCACCAGGCCTTTGTGCCCACTAAGTTCACCCTTTGGGGTCCTGTGGCACCACCCTGAGACACAGCGGGTGTGGCAGTGTTCCTGAGGTGAAAGGAATGAAGGCCAGTTCCTTGGTGCAGCTTTATCAGACAACTGACAGAAAATATAGGCAAGCTCTGAGGTAACTGTAGCTTAGAATTTTCATGTAAATTAAAAGAAGAAAAGATTTCAACACAGTGGAACGGCTGTATTGGTTTGAAGGCAGGGCTTTGAACTGGTTTGGTATTTTTTCAGTTCAACTTCCTGCTGAGAATTCACTTTTCCACCCCAGATAAAATGAATCAGAATACCTGTGGCAGACAAGCTTGTTTCCCACTGTAATGCAGAGACTAGGAGTGGAATAACCCCGCCTAGAGTGGCAAGGGAGGGGCCCTGCTCATAGAATGGACCACAGTCCTCACGCTTGGAGACTGGTGCCACGGTGGGCTGGGAGCCAGGGCTCCCATGGCTAAGGATCACTTTGCCTATTAGGTCCTCTGGATATAAGCCATTTTGTATACCTTTCCTTGGCTCCCTGGAGACCAGAGCCTTGGTTAGGGTCAGCCCAAGTTCAGACTTGCTTCTGGAGGCTGTGAGGTCTAAGAAAAGACTAACAATCTAGTGGCAGCCTGGCCAGGGTTACAGGGTGACCTCAAGCCAGTCTGGCTAGGTCTACAGGGCTGAGCCATTCCTCAACTTGGGAAGGTGTCCTAACCTCTCTGGGTTTCAGTATCCTTATTTCTAAAGTAAGGGTACGAGGGACCTGCAGGGCAGCTCTGTTAGGAGGTGAAGTGAGTTAACACATGACATGCAGAGCAGTCCCTGACCTAGGGAAGTACTGAGTAATGTGAGCTACTGACATGATTTGGGAATGCTGTGACCCAAAACCAAGGACTCAGTTAACAGCAAACTGACTCCCAAGGCTACCAGGACAAGGCCCTGATTTCAGTGAAATAATTCTTTCCAAAAAGTAAACTCATTAAATATACAGCTCAATGCAATTTAATTTCTATAACCTCACAAACCCTTTGGTTTAATTAAATTAACAAGTTGGAAGAATAAAAACACTTTGTCAGAAGCAGTCAGGATCCCATGACCCAGTGTGGTATCAGAAAACGTAGTCACTATAATGAACAAAGAAGCCAGCAAGGTAAGAAGAGAGTGCATACAAGAGCTGGAATGTCCTTCTATTTTCTTCACACTGAAGAAGGAGCAGGATAAAACTAAACAGCCCCAGCAGCTCCCACTGGAGATGAGTGAAGCTCCCAACGAGCTGCACTGTCATGCAACCCAATTTCTGTTACAATGTGCAACAGGAAGAAAAGGGCAGAAGCTACAAAGCAGCCTGCCCTGGAGACCCGTGTCCCTGAGGCTCATGGAGTCTGCTCTGGCCCACAGTCTGCACTCAGTCAGGTCCTACATTCCAGAATCTGAGTGCAAAGGACACTAAAACCAGTACCAGTCCTCCTGAGTAATGAAGGAACCTAATGTTGGGAAAAGACAAATTTAATGGCCATCCTCAAGGAAGCTGTTCATTCAAGGGAGTCAGATTCAATGTCAGGACAACATTCCTGAGCAGCAGACGCAGAAACTTTCATACTGGCAATCCCAACTCTTTCTGGAAGTTTTTCAAATCCTGAAAGCCTCTCCCAACTTGTCATCTACTCTGTGCATGCCTGTGGGACCTGGCCTATTCCATGCTCAAGAAACAGCTGTCAAACTCCTTCCTATTCCTTCCTTATCATCAGGATGGCCAAAGTGGACTAGAGACTACAATGACTCACTCCAAGGGCTGTTTTTGGTGTCTGGGTGCCTTTCCTAGCAAAGGAACATCGCCACAGTGGAAGAAAGAATTTGTGTCCTAACTGGCCAAATTCCAGATGAGGACATACATCTCACATTTAAAACAAAGTCAAAGATGGGCAGTTTTCTCTGAAAATGGCATATGAGAAAGATGTTAAGTAGGAGGACTCACACTGCCAGATCTCAAAACCTACTATACAGCCACAGTAGTCAAAA